CCCTCAGGATGGTGTCGTGGGAGGCCTTTCGGGGGTGGGAACGTGGTAGAATCCAATTGGAACCGGACCAATTCGAGACCCCCCCCCCTTTTCCCGAAAGGGAGGGGGTCTCAAATTCGAGTGCGGCGTCATGGTATTTCGAGGCCTATGTGATATTCTCGGCATTGCTCCACATTGCTTGTTCAAGTCGCAGTTGATAGCTAAGCAAAACAGAAGCGTTTAGGTCGGATTGGGATGTCTAGTTTGCATCCGAACCCAACCCCAAACTGCGTTGTTCACAAAGTTGACTTTAGGTTTAAACTCAACCCAAACTGCACTGTTCAAAAAGTTGACTTTGGGTTTCGGCTCAACCCAAACTGGACTTCCCAACCCGCCCTCAACACGAACTCGCAGGTGTTCCGTAAAAGTTGTGGCTCGAGATTTTGCTCCAAATCTGTTGCTCGCAGTTGTTGCTCACGCCGTGGATATGTTCCAGCGGCGCGGCGGCATCAGGCAGTGAGCCAAGGCGGCTGCTGCCGCCGAGGCCGCCGCGAAGGTCAGTAGTAAATTGGCGACATACCTGTTGCAGGAGTGGAGCTGGGGACGGATGACTCCGCAACAAGTCCAGCGCATCTCTGGTTTCATGAAGGACGACCTCGCCGCCCAGGCAGCAGGTCTACTAGAGATGGACGCGGTTCAGTTCCTATCGCCCTTGGAACCTCTGGGCGGCACCCCCAGCATATGAGCAACCAGCTCGTCAAGAAGTGCCCCCCTCATTCATGTTTCTACCCGCTGCCGTTCAGGGCAATTCTGAAGCAGAGCGCTTGTGGGACTCACTTCCGGACCATGGACATGTTGCGCCCGCGTGTGGTTTTTGCGAAGATGTTCCACTGCCACAAAAATGCATGGCAATCGTTTATGTGCCCGTCCGCCACAGTGCTGCGGGCGTTCTGGCAGGACGTGAGATCGACGCCACAATATCTATCACATCCAATTCGCGGCCGCCCCAACCACGAGTCCTTGGCCATACCGATTTCTGTGCACGGCGATGGAACGCCGATTACTGGCCTTGGGAAAGCTTGGGGGAAACTCATGGACATTTGGAGCTGGAGCTCGCTCGTTGCGACAGGGCCGACCGACATGTCTCAACTCGTGATCTGCATGTTGCTCGAAGCAGTTCAAACGTCAGGCGCAGCAGGCAAAACCTTAATGTATATATTTAGGCAGCTCAGGTGGTCACTAGAGCACCTGTGGTTGGGCACGTGGCCCGAGATCGACGAGCTAGGCAATCCGATGCCTGAGGGCTCGCCCACGGGATTGCTCGCTGGGGGGGGGGGGGGGGCACTACGCGTGCGGGGGGGGGCTGATCGGTGATCTCGACTACATGTTTAAGCACTTGGGTCTGCCTAATAATAACATTTTGAATGGCCCGTGCGGGTGGTGTCCCTGCAACTCAACGACTATGCCATGGTGGGATTTCCGCAAAAACGCTGAATGTTTAAAGCACAGGCACATTATAGCTACATGGATGGCCATGGGTCATCAGAAAGAACACCCGTTGTTTAAGGTCCCGGGCGTTACAATTTTGACGGTAAAGCCAGGTTGGATGCACATCAAATATTTGGGCTTGGACAGAAAATTGTATGGTTCTGTATTGTTTGGCTTGACCCGTTATGTGCTCATAGGTGATCCCGCCCAGAACATGGCGACCATACAGAAAGATATTTTTGACATTTACAAGCGCGACAAGGTGAATACTCGATTTTCCCATATAAAGGTATCTATGTTCAGCAATCGGGCGAAGGCAAACCTCAGAGGAAAAGCTGCTGATATAAAGTGCCTGGGGCCAGTCCTCTTTGAAATATGGCAGAAAAGAATGAATCCCGATATCGAGATGCATCCAAGGTTCGGCTGCTAATTCAATTGAGTGTCCTGCTCGATGAAAAGTTGGATGCGATTCCACAGGAATGCTATACAACTCCAAGGAACATGCGCTTGGACTTGTTAGACACGTGCCACACGTTCTTGTGTCTGTGGAACGAGATACAGGCTTTCTTTGTAAATAGCGAAGACGCGCATGATAATGAGTTGTTTCACATAACTATAAAAGCACATTGTTGTTGCACTGCTGCTTGGATCGATCAAGCCCTAAAAAGATGTGGTGCTTCCGTGGCGAGGATCTAATGTCAAGTATGCGCAAACTCGCATTTGCTTGCGCCGAGCGGTGCTCATCCTGGCAGATCGGGAACAAAGGCATTGGCAAGTATTGCGTTGCCCTTGACATGCTGTTCAAAACATTGGACGCAGCTGCTGTGTAAAACGGTGCAAGACAATACAAGCTACACATACTGGTTATCGCATACCCAAACATAGAACCTAACACATAACCTAACATCTAATCTAACCTACCCCCTAACATATAACCTAACCAACCCCCTAAAATATAACCTAACCTAACCTACCCCCTAAGATCTAACCTAATATTTAGCCTACGATTTAACCTACCAGCTACCCCCATAATTAAACTAATTAGTTAACTTTAGCCGATCGGCAAGATTAAACGAATTCGTTTAATCTAACCGATCGGCTATTTTTAGTCTCGTGCAGTCTTTAGGGTTCGGCGCGGCACGCTCGGCACGCCGCCGTTTCCAGCGCCTTCTTCCCGAGCTCCCAGACATCGGGCGTCTCGAAAAAATCGAGACAGAGGTTTTTCATAGTTTTTGGCCTTTCGGGGCCCTCGCCGGGCCTCGGGACCGTCAAAAAACGACTCGGGATGAAAAACCGGTCCCAGGGAAGTGGTCGGGAGGTCGGGGGCTCGCGTCTCGAAAAAATCGAGACGTCGGATGTCTGGGCTCTTCCCAGCCCCCCCGTCCGGCGAAGTGGAGCGACACGCTGTCCGCCTGCAGGCCATATAGCTTGTCGCAGGGGCCGCCTCCGCGACACGCTGAGCAAGTATTCATGACCGTTCACGAGAGCATGCGTCCCTTCGTGAGCCCCCCCCCTTCCGTCAGCGACCTCTCTTACGCTGACATGCGGCCCCGTTCTGGCTGCGGAGGTTTACGGTCAGGAGCTCTGGCTTAGCGTGTCGCTCCGCCGGGTCCTGGCCCACCACGCTTCGGCGCGACACGCTATTCACGTCCCCACTCCCAATCGTCAACGTCCCGAGCGCTTTCGAGCTTCTGACCACGCGGAGCGGAACGACACGCTATCCACTCGCAGGGCATAGCGTGTTGCCAGGGACTCCGCTGCAAAATCTCCAGACTGTACGTTCCATTCCCTGCCGCTGTTTGTTTTCTCCGCGGCATCGAACAGAGCAGCAGCCTCGGAGCTAGGGACGACCAATGGGGTCCGAGGAGCGTGGCTCGGAGCAAAATACCTCCCTGGACGAACGTCAGATATCGCACGTCTTGTGCAAACGGTTGTGCCGGTTCTCTGCTGGGCATTGGTTCCGCCGAGGCGCCCCGAAACGCCAGCGATGCCAAGGAGTCGAATCTCGGCTCGGATGTTGGCTTGCAGGAGGAGCTGTGAGGAGGAAGAGGAGAGCAGCACCAGAAACACGAGGACCAATCCAACTTGTTCCGAGAGGTGGGGCAACGCCTGCGTGTGCGAACCACCCCTGTCTCCTAGGATCGACTTACCACACGTCCAACAGTTCAGCTGTCCAGCGTCGCAAGTCGTGAGCCAGTGCGACTGAGGTGCAAGGGTCAGAGCCCCGAATCATCAGGGGTAACTCGGGTCAGGGATAACTCGGGTTCGTTGTTTCGGGATTCCGAACCCGAGTTACCCCAGACCCGAGTTACCCCGGATAACTCGGGCGTCCAGAGCCCCGAATCATCAGGGGTAACTCGGGTCAGGGCTAACTCGGGTTCCTTTTTCGGGAATCCAAACCCGAGTTACCCCGGACCCGAGTTACCCCGGATAACTCGGGCGCCCAAAAGGGGAGAGGGGGGAGGATACGGAGGAGCAGGAGACGGAGGAAGAGCATGCAGCAACAGAGGCGACGGCCGCGCCGATTTGGCCTGCACCGCACCCTGCGGCCTCGGGCCTCCCTCTCGTGTCTCTCTCCTCCCTCACCCCTCTGCCCCCCCCCCCCCCTCGTGCCTGCACTCCCCCCTCGTCCCCATCCCTCTCCTCCCCTCCCCCCTCCTCAACGCCCTCCCCGCGCCCCTCTCCTTTCCCCTCTCTGACCCTCTTGATTCTGGCACGCGCTGGCCGTGCAGGTTGTTGCACGCTTATTGCTGGTGTGACCTCATTGTCGTTGCTCATCCTGCTCTCTAGAAGTGTCCTGTCCAGTCCCTCCCCCCTCTTCCCTCCCCTCTCCCCTTCCCCCATTTCTTTGGCTGTCGGGTGCCTTGCGGCCTCGCGCCTGTGGAAGTCCTGCTCGCTTCGTCTTGGCCCTCAGTTGGGACCAGGACGTGGGGTCGAGCGTACAGTCGGCCACCATCCGCTCCTCTCACACTGCGGTGCAACACGGCTGCGGTGGTGCGTAGTGTTTCGGGGTGAAGAGAAACGAACACATCCCCCTTCTCCTTCCCCTCTCCCCTCCTC